GATAGGCAGTTCAATCCCACCAGCCGCTTAACACTTAACAGCAACAGCACTGATATAACCTTAGGTTGTGGTTGTTGATTGTCATTCATGGAGACCCCACACATGCAGCATGGGGTTTTCAAGGTTGTGACCTTTCAGACGCTGATCACTAAGCCTGTGTTCCACACCACCTCTGGGTAGGTTCCAACAGCCAACCTAACCAGCTAGTGGTCAAGTGCTTAACTGCCTGCATCATCCAGGGACTTCCTAACGTCATGGTAACTGACAACATCTTATTTTCAAATAAGGGCATGTTCACAAGTATCGGGGGTGGGGGATACAACTGAATCCATAGCACAATTTTTGTAGTGTTTCGTGTGAGCCACACACTTGGCTAAGTGGTCTACATGCATTATCTAATCAAGTCTTCACCACATTCCAGGGTGTAGGTGACAGCTTTAATGAGCTCAAATCTAACAACAATTGTGAGGATGGCTGAGGACCGGCACTGCTTCGTTCTGTTGTGCATAGGGTCACGATTAGTCGGAATAGTGGCGTTGTGGGTTAATGCACCAGACTGCAAAGCTGTTTGAACTGCAAGGTAGACGGTTCAAACTCACCAGCTGCTCCTCGGAAACCTTACACAGGGTCACTATGGGTCGGAATCAACTCGACGGCACTTAACAACAACAACAACACAGGATAAACAGGGATCCTCTGTGTGGGGACAGTAGAATCCCTGGTGGTCATTCTTAGTGTCAAGCAGGGATGAGTAGTCCCTCTCTGAGTGGATATCACGAGGCAGGGGTATTGGGAAATCTTTCTACTGGTTTCGACCCTGTCTTAGTTACCAAGTACTGCCATAAGATAAATTCTGTAAGTGGGTGGAGAAGTCCAGATGAAAGGTTCGGTTCTAGGAAGAGGCCCTGCTTTGTGTATTTCAGCTTCTAGTTACTGTTGATCAGTGCCATGGAATCGGTTCTGACTCATAGTGACCCTGTAAAGGGTTCTGAGGAGCAGCTAGTAAGCTTGGACTGGACTGCCGACCTTGCAGTTCAAATGACTTTACAGTCCAGCACATTAACCTGCAGCACCACACCAGGACTCAGATTCTAGTAGCTGCTAACCACCTTGAGGTTTCTGAGGACACAGATGAATCCGTCTTCATTGTGTTTATATCCCTGTAATCATGTCTTGGAGGCATTCTTGCATTTTTCATCAAACAACATGTCCACATTGTTTAAGAGGGAGGAGCTACTTGAAAGTACTTCATACATTTCCACCCTTTTATTTCATGTGGATTCAAGTGTTTTAATGATGGCATAGTGTGTGGCCATGTGAAATTGATCTCTGACACGCAGAACTTCTGGAATACTTCTTGTATTTACTTGATTCTTTCTAATACTTCTGCAACAGTGATCTGGAGCTCACATTGTTGTTAAGCATTGTCGAATTGGTTTTATTTATTGAGTTGGTATCGAGTTCATTCTAGTGCCTTGCTCGCTTTTCCTTGTGTCCAGTCTGCTTGGCATCTATAGGTCTTTACTTTGAACAATTGGTGCCGCTGTTTTGTTGATGCCCCAAGCACATGCTTGCCTTGTTAATTGGGTAATCCATCTTTTTATATTGTAAGACACACATTTGGCTTAACGAACATTACATAGAAACTGTACCTAACTGTTGCGAGTTACCTACAGATTTAACTTACAGACAGACTTGGAAATGGAACTCACTCATAATCTAGGGACTACCTGTATATCGTATGAGATTTATAAACAGCATATGAAAGTGGCTAAAGGGAGAAATGTGTTAGAAAGCAAGTCTGGGCATCACAACCATGACACTGTTTTTAGTAAGTACTGTCAAGTTGGTTCCAACTCATAGCAACCCTGTGTGTGAGGCTATAAATCTTTGAGGGGTGAAAAGCCTCACCTTTCTCTCCTGGAACAGCTGGTGAACTCAAACCATCAACTTTATAGTCTGTAGTCCAGTGACTATCTTACAGAACCACCACTCGACCCAACACTAAACTTGTATCTCTTTTGTTTATTTAAGAGAAGAGCTGGGAGGTAGCTGTGGGCAGTATAAACACACTGTGGTGCTGTAGGATAAGCACTGGACTGAAAGGTTGGTTTGAACTATAAGGCCGACAGTTTAAACTCACCAGCCACTCCTCAGAAACCATATACTGAGTCTCACACCACCAATATCTGCATCTAGACCCAATTCTTTCTGTATATGTCTATGAAGTAGCTACTAAAAATGATTCTTAAAAAAACATGATCACCAATTAACTGTCCATTTAGTTATAACAGAGACCAAAGAAAACACCTTAGCAATGGAACAGTGGGACCTTTCAGCAAGCAGTTTTCTGATACACTATTGTTGTTGTTGTTGTTGTTATGTGCCATGAAGTCGATTCCGACTCGTGGCGACCCTGTACACGGTTTCCGAGGCTGTACATCTTTACGGGAGCAGAAAGCCTCATCTTTCTCCCTCCGAACAGCTGGTAGTTTCGAACTGCTGACCTTGCGGTTCACAGCCCAATTCGTAACCACTACACTACCAGAGCTCCTTAGCCTCTATTTTTTTAAGTAAAGTCAACATCAAGGTCTGATTTGTTGCACTGTCTTTAACTTTTAAGGTCAATGGCAAATATGAGGGGCTTCAAAAATTTCATGGAAAAATGGAATTAAAAGACAGTGGAGTTTATCCACGATATTTACAAAGCCCCCTCAAGTCTGCAGAAAATAAGATTGTACTGTAATCAGAACTGACTTATTTCAGAAAAATTAAGAGCTGATGATGATGAGGCAAACGGTACACTTTCGTGCTCACAACACAACACTCGTACTGTCTAGCATTCTGATGGTATGAAATGCTTTTAAAGAAGGTTAGACTAATAAAACACTCAGGTAGTCTTTAATTTACCTACTTTGTAGTGTGTGTAAGTTGAAATAGGAAAAATCATTTCCTGACATTGTAAGAAAGCTCTTTTAAGCATAGGAAAAGGCTAGAAAAACCCAAAAAACTCAGACATAATTGGACAATGGCTTTAAAATGCTGCCTTTGAATGGTGGCCCTGACTACTGATTTTAGTAATTAATATCTCTACACTGACCATCACCACGGGTGGGCCGTTCCTTTCACTAGGCACCTGTCCATTATAACACTAAGATAACAAACAAAAGCCCAGGATCCTATTCGGTACCGCAGCGTGCTATGTGGAAGCCGTCATTTTCACAGTACACGTGACTCCTGATGTAACTTTCATTTAAATTGTTGCTGTTGTTGCTAAGTGCCACCAGGTTGTAAATAGCTATTGATAAACTGTGTTTCCGACTTCAAACTTCAACATACAGGAACCCTGGTGGCACAGTGGTTCAGTACTCGGCTGGGCCGTAAAGCCAGTGTGAACTGCAAGGTTGCCAGTTCAAGCTCACCAGTCGTTCCTCGGAAACCCTACACAGGGTCGCTATGGATCGGAACTGACTTGACAACACTTAACAACAACAACCACCAGAAGGTTAATGGTTTGAAACCACCAGCTACTCCACAAGATTCCATGAAGATCTATACAACCTTCTGCTTGGTCCTGTAAGGTCTCTTTGAGTTGGAATCAATTAAATAACAACTAATTTTGGGAAAGGTATTAGTGGTTCAAATTCACCAGTTGTTCCTTGGAAACAAACAAGTGGCTGGAATTGACTTGATGGCTCTTAACAACAACATTTTTTTATATTAAATAAAAGGACTTGGAGAAACTACAAAGTTAAGCTAGAAAATTCCATCCTAATCTCTTTTAAAAAGATGTATTTGGATTACAAAAACTTGGGAATTCCTGAATCAATGAATTTCTTTGTGTGCATTTTGTTGAGTTTAAAGAGAGACCTCAGGACAGTTGCCTGAAGGCATGTGAAGTTCACAGTCCAGAAAAAAAAAGAACTAGCAGTTTCTCTGGAGTGTTTGGGAGGTTGAAGAATCTTGATTTTCACTGAGTCCGTGGTTCTGGAGTGTACTGAGCTGAGCGTGTGGGGTTGGGAGGAGGCCTCATTTGTAGAGGGGCTGGAGAACAGTAAAAGAATGAAAGACAGCGGTTGGCAGATACAAGTGCAGGGAACAATGGTCAAAATCTCTTAACTGAGTTCTGCAAACTGAAATTTTATTTGTTATGTAGGCTTTAAAAAGAAAATGTAGGAAAACCACTGGAAACAAGATTCACAGGTTAAAATTGACTTGAAATTGTACTCACTATGTGTTGCGTAGCAAACATACCGTCGATTATTGCACAACAGAATGCGGCCACCAGTCCAAAGCTGATAAAGATGATTGATGCGACCAACTAAAGTAAGAAGAACGAAGAATGGGGTGAGGGTTTTAGAATTGCAACCAAAAATACACAGCAACCCAAAGTCCTTCTGTGGCACTGGAGGATAAGCAACAAGACGGCAAAGTCAGTTTGTGAACCTCAAGGTCAGTGGTCAAACTCACCAGTCGTCCTTTGGAAACCCCACAGCGGGTTGTCATGAGTCAGAAATGACGATGGCACCCAGTGATCTACAGCACAGACCCAACCCTAGGCCAGATTTACAACAGAAAAGCATGTTTATGTTGTTTATATTTCACAAGATGTATGTGAATATATTCTGGATGTAAAAGGCAAGCACTAAGGAAGTAGATTTTAAACCCTCCTTCATCCACCTTTGTTCCTGTCAGAAGAAACTATAACTTCAGTTTGTTGTGTACAATTATAGTATTGGTGTGCATATGCAACACACATACACAATTGTGAGCTTGTTTGTAGGTCTTGTTTTGAGGGTAAGTCAAAAGGTATTGCTACAACATTCTAGGAAACTTTATTAAATAAAAATATCAAAATACGAAGCTATTGTTTCTTGGCATATCCTCCATCTCAATGGTAGAGTTGTGGATTAGACACTGGGCTACTAAATGAGCATCAGCAGTTCAAATCCATCAGGCGCTCCATGGAAGAAAGATGAGGCTGGTTCCTCCCATGAAAATTTACAGTTGCTAAGAGCTGGAATTGACTTGATGGCAGTGTGCTTGATATAGTTTGGGGAACCCTCCCTGAAGAACTTTGCACCCTTCAATTGACACCACATCAAAATGGCAGTTTGGCATCCTTAAAGGATGCAAATTGTATTCCTTAGATATGTTCTTTTAGTTTCTTGAACAAACAGAAGTCTGAAAACAGAGGACCCTAGGACCATCAACGGAGAAGAGCACACACCGAATGTGGGACCCTATCCAGAAAGGCAGAGACACCAGAGATGGAGGCAGAGATGGGGACATGGAGAGAAGGAGCAGCTGAGGACTCTAGATTTCATGGGAAGAGAGGGACTGAGAGCTGGTGGCCAGGAGGCAGGCTTGCAGAATGTGCCCTTTGGTGATATAAACTATTATATATGTCTGAGTGTTTAAAAAATAAAATTTAAAAAAGAGCTAAAATGAATAGAGAGAAATACTGTTAATTGATGGTACATGGAGGGGATTATAATCATTGTAATGCAAGAGAGTGTATGATTTGTTGAATGTAGAACTGTAAACTTTCTCTCAATTCACAATAGAAATTAAAAAAAAAAAAAGTCTGAAGGGGCAACATTAGGAATGAAATGTGGGTGGGTAAGGTTTCTGACAAAGTTCTCATAGGAGGACAGCCCTTGGTACACTGAAAGAATGAGTGAGTGCTTTGTGATGGAAATAAATTCCTTAGCACAACTTTGGTGGCCTTTTTCTCACCAACACAGTCCTCAATTTTCTTAAAACTTCTTTCTAATAATTTTCCTATGTCCTTTGAAAAAAATCTATCATTGTTACACCTTTCTTGTTGTTGTGAAGTGTCATAGAGTCCATTCTGACCCATAGCGACCCTGTATAGGGTTTCCAAGGAACAGCTGGTGAGCTTGAACTGCTGACCTTGCAGTTTAAACAGCTTTGAAGTCTGACACATTAACCCACAGCTCCACACCAGGACTCCTTTGGGAACCCCCCAAACAGTCGCCATAGCTTTTTAAGCTGACCTCTCTGCCTTGAATTTAACTGGTCCAGTAGATGCCCTTGGAAGCCACTGTTTTGATTGAGCCTAGCTCTCTGGATGGTATTGGTAAACCCAAAGCTTGTCCCCAGTTACAATGTGCTCCATGTAATTGTCTTCATTAGTTTTAACCTTGCTTAAAAGACTGGTGGGAAGATCAGCTCTAGAGTTAGCTGAACTCTGGGCTTTTTTGTTTTTTTTTAGTATCCTTCTTTGAAGGCATCCTAACAAGGCGAAGATAAGTGTACTACTGAGAGAACTTTTCCATAGTCATCTACTGATCACAGAAAACAAGCGTAAACACATTTTGTTTGGAATAAACCCATGCATATGCAAGCTGGGATCCTAATACTAATTCTTTTTGACTTCCCTTTGGATTTCCAGTAATGGAACAATATTTTGCACATCACTCTACAAACTGTTCTGTCCTAGAGAACATTCATTTCAGAACACGCAGGATCAGCTCCTTATCGATAGATATTTGCCATAGTCTTTTGCATACACTGTACTTACGGGCCACCGTTGAGTCAGAACAGACTTGACAAACGACATTTTAAAAGTAATGCACTGAACTGCAAGTTCGGTTTGAACCACAATACCGGTGGTTCAAACTCACCAGCCACTCCTCGGAAACCCCATACAGGGTCGCTATGAGTCGGAACGGACTCAATGGCACTTAACAACAACAATCTTTGAGTTATGTTGTGATTGTTTAAAGCTTTTTTGAGGAAAGGCTAATCAATCTGTTTTTTAATTTTGATATAGTCAAAATTTATCTTTTTTCTTGTTGCCTCTGAATTTTATCAGTTAGAAAGTTTTCTCTATGATGAGGTTAATGAGGAACTTACTCCTGTTTCTTGCTGGTATTTGTGTGGTCTCACATTTCACATTTATATTTCTGATCCATTTATTTTTGCCTATGTTATCATTTTTTATCTTTTTTCAAATGGTTACTCAATCATTCCAGCACCACTGACTGAAAAATCTACCATCGATCTTATGATCTGAGATGCCATCTTTATCATATACTAAATTTCCATATGTTCTTGGGTATATTTTATTGTTGTTGTCAAGCGCTGCCGAGTTAGTTCCAACTCACAGCGACCCTGTATAGGGTTTCTGAGGAGCGGCTGGTAAGCTTGAACCACTGACCTTGAGGTTCAAACCAACCTTGTGTCCCTAACCCGCAGTGCCACATGAGGACTGTTTATGAGCTTCTTATTCTACTCTATTGGCTTATTCGTTTATCCATTCTCCAGAGTCACTGTGTTTCAATTTTAGAGATTTTATAGCATGTTTTAATGTGTAGTATTTAATATAACATAATGCATCAGACACATCAGCAAATTCGCAAAAAACTTCTTTAAAGAGCTGAAGAGCAAAGCGTTATCTTGAGGACTAAAGTGCACACCAGACCCAAGTTCTGGCGTTTTCTTATGAACGTATTAGTTTTCCTTTGTAGGGAACTTTTCATTTTTCCTGAGCTGCTCACGGGATTCTTTCCTTAGTCTATAGTTTTGAAAAGTTTGATGATAATAAGTCTTGGTGTTTTTCTTTCAGAATCCATCCTGTTTGGAGTCCGATCAACATCTTGAATAACTAGCGTCTCATTTACATGATGTTACGGAAGTTTTCTTCCAACAATTCTTGTG